TCGGCCCTCTGTTGATGATAATGATGATGTTGTTGCCAGCACTGCCTATTTTGGCGATTCTTTTCTCATTTCAGAAATGCTTTGAGCTAAGGAGGTGCTGAAAGTGATGGAAGAGTCGCTTTTTAGATTCAGTTAAGAACTTTGCGCCAAAACACTTCCCCTGGTGGGGAGGATGGGTGTTTATAGGTGTTTATATTTAACAAATCCTGTCATTGTTATCTATAGCAACATATAGGGAAGGCAAACATCTTTTAATTGGAAATTTTATTCTTTTGAAGGAACCGTCCTCTATCATTCCGGCATTGCGGTCACACTCCGCACGCTAGTGCTGCATGACCGTGTTGGCCGCCACTAAGTCGGCCCTGATTGGTGGGTGGTCAAGGTCATCACTGGGCTATAAAAGTCAGAATAAATTGGCTATTTTCATGTCCACTCGAGCCAAACATGAAAGTGAGCCGATTCTGCATTGGCATGACTTTACTGGCCCTGTTGTCAGTTAGTCTGCATGCTGTACCCATAGAGAAAGAGGGTGATTTTAATTCGAATTTAGAGCAGACTCCCGAGGAGGACCAATTCGATGACAATGTCCAAATGATATTCTGGTTCTGGGACAACAGTGACGATGATAAAGACGCAGCTGACGGCTACGACAAAGATGATGATGGTGATCGATATGATAAAGATGTCGAAAACAGATACGACGGGGACGACGATGACAGCAGATATGATGGAGATGAGGAAAAAGGCGACGACTCATATGATAGAGACGATGACGATGTCAGGAATGATATTGATGACAACGCCAAATCAGATAGCGATGACGGCAGTAGAAGAGGAAATCGATACGGGATTGGAAGGAGAAGAGACGATCGGTATGATGCCATGTGCGTCTGTGATGACAACAGCCGCTATGATGTGGACGACGACGATAGCCGAAGAAGTCGACACAGGATTGGAAGAGGAGCAGATCGTCAAAATGAACGAGATTTGGATACTGATGAGGACAATGATGAAGATGCCAGAAAAGTCATTAATGACACCGATCTATGTGATGAGGATGACGACGGTAGAGGAAGAAGTCGACACAGGGTTGGATGGAGAAGAGGTAGTCGATTTGATGGATGCGTCTGCGATGGCAACAATCAATATGATAGGGATGATGATGAAGATAGAGAAAGAAATTTGTATGGGACTGGAAAAATAGTACATCGTCAATTTGATAGAGATCTAGATGATGACGACGATGTAGGTGGTGATGACAACGATGATGGTGACGCGCTTTGGGACATTGCCGGCAAAGTGAGACGGGTGAACATGCTCAGGCGAGATCGTGGGCGCCACGCCTATGAAGATGGCGGAGATTATGATGATGGATCCTTTCATCTAAACTAAAGTGGACATCAAACAATTCCACTCTACAACTTGTCTTTTACTTGGTTTAGATAAATAAACTCATCGACAAAAATTTTTCAGAACTTCTTTTACCTGCTGGCCATTAGGGAAGAGGAATGAAGGAAAGGAGGGGAAATCGCCTCCATCGTAGTCCACATATTTACAGCTTGTTAAACTGGTCCATTTGACCTTTGCACTGCATCAATCTATGACAGAATTCCTCAAAATCTGCCAAATTCGAGTCACCAAAACCCGGACTGGCTGCTTTAGGGGCTAAATCGTGATAGGGGATGGATTTAGTCTTCCTAATTTTCCCTATTACGAAAGAATTTATTCTCAGAGGGTGTCTACGACTCCCAGAAATCATCACTATTTCAAAACTCCGCAAGATTCTCCTTCCTGGCATTAGCCTTATAACTCGGGCTCTCGACCGCTTCCTCTGATTGGTTACTGTAACCGATAGGTGGGTTCTAGAGGCACTAGCAGGTATGTCGGGGTTAGGGCCAGTCAAAACACGAAAGCCCGTCAGAATGGCATCATCTGCCATCTTCAGCATTCAATCAGCAGTCAGCGTATCCATTTTGCTTACGTGTGTTAGGCTGATGATGGAGATATTCGTTTTGAAATCGCTCTCTCATTGGTTAGTCTATTCTACAAATCAACGGACCTCGAGTTTATACTTCGTAGACGTTATTTTCAACCTAGACTATCCCTCTCCATCATTTCGTCCCCGGAGGAGAGGGTGTGCGTTTGTGGTGGACTAGAAATGAACATGCGGTCACGATGAATCTCTCACTTTGTTAGGGCCAAGCACTTGCCACTGAGATCTACCTTGTCAGCAAAACTCGGCCAAGTGGAAGGGAATCACTCTTTGAAGAAGCTGTAAGATGAGGTACTCGGTCTCAAGGAGGGGCTGTATGACCTGTAGCAGCTAAAATTATCCGAGAAGCAAATAGCGCCTTTACAATGAATGAGTGATAGCACGTCAGGCCATCCTTCGAGTTGCCCCTTGATTTATCTCCTAGAATTTCTTACCTTCCTGGTGTCCAATGTCTTCCTGCCAGTCTGGCCAACCCTTATCTGTTAATTTTTTCTAAAAGTGTTTGTGTGCCGCATAACAACCCTCGGTACTGTGTGATGACCAACTAGTGGCCCACACAACATTTGTGGGCGACAACTTGGTTGTGTATATTCAGATTTAAGCAAATCATTATTCGCCAACGGCCCCTTTACCTCTATGGCATTGGTTTCGCCTGAAGGTCAACGATGCCTTATAAATGGTCTGTTACAGTTGTTGATCGCTATATTTAACAATTAAAATTACGTCCACTACCACTCGATTTTCCCTTTTTGTGGTGCTTTCATTCTTGTCAGTGCTTAGCTTACAAGCTGTCAGGGTTGACAGGGCACATGATGAAGACCCTTATTTGATACGGGGAGAAGAGTTAGGTCAAGAAAACAGAACAAAGGACCCAAGGGGGCTAAAGGCTGGTGCGGAGGAAGAGAGAGCACTTAGAAGTATCGGTAAAGAAGCAAAGCATCAATACATGAATAACAAGAATTGCCGGGACGGAGGAAAAAGATCCCCTGACCATGGGGGCGAACGCGACTGGCTTAACAAATATAGAGGCTATGAGCCAACCGGTAATATGAATTCCGACGCCGACGAGACGGAAGATCCCTAGATGGCCCAGTTAGAAGGTTGTATGAAGAGATTAAACCCCGACTTTAGTACTCTAAGAAGGCTATACCAGAAAATTAAGTCTGCTCTGATAAGGTGGCTCCAAAAGGTAGTTGAGCTTGAATGATTGTGCCGCAAGGATGCAGTTCTTCTTCCCCTTTCCTTTCCCGCCTTTTGGAGTACGATAATCCCCCTCCGATTTTTGGACTGATGTATTATGAAGGGAAGTGTTTTTATGCTGGATTTTAAAATGACTAAGTAAAAATTATTTTCTAGAGTTCAAAATTTGCCACAAATTTTCTGACAGATGAACGACAGTTTAGGCGACTAAACAACCGTTTCGGTCTCCGTGTCACTAGTACCGATAGGTTTCTTAGGCAAAAAAAATGTAGTTTTGGAGCCCACACTTTGACACTCAAACACCTAAGCTAAACATATTTGTTGATAAATTATGGCATTCGGTGTCACTGGCCGCCCTCAACAAGATCACATTCTCTACGCCCCTGGGAGCGACGCCTATTGGTCGGCTTTCAAGGTCGTCGGTTGGCTATAAAATGCTCTTGCTCACTGTTTACCCCAGTGTGTGTGTGTGTGTGCCTCCATCAGGGCAGGTGATGCGAATACTACAACTCTCACTCCTCGCGTTGGTGCTAACACTGGCTCCACATGAGACTGGGGCTTCACTTTTTAAGGAGGATGCTGATGGAACT